CAAATTCCCGTTCCCTGCTGAAGCTAATAGCCTTGTCCTCTCTCTAAGCAGTTCAGTGTATTTCCAGAGAGAGCTTAGATGTACAGTGCCATCACTCAAGTCTGTAAGGACGTGGATATGAAGCCCTTCTTTAAAGGGGAACCCTCCTCTTCCAGCTAGCAAATGTCAAGTGACTCTCCTTGATTTATTTAGCACCTAGCACAGCTTCTAGACTGTAATAGGCCTGATAGCTGTCTAAGCACAGCTTGCACTCTTGACTTATCTGCTTTAATATACAACTTTTTGCTTTGTAAGTAGCTTCTATTCCCACTGCCATCACACCACCTTAATTATGTACATAACTACCATGCTAAGACAACTGCTAGGACTGAATTCTTAGAAAGTAAATGTCTCGGCATTGTTCCTCTGACTTCTTTGCCTCTTCTCTTTTAAAACACTTCTTGCCTCCTTTCCTCCCAGGCCAAATAATCTTTGGAAGAGACTCCAAAAAAATCCAAACTAAGGGATGGAAGGAATGAGCTGCTTTCCCAAATCATTAATTTTTCCTTTTTCTTTAAAACCCAAAGGCCTTACAAACTGAATCTAAAGCCAATTTTCTCAACTCATTCCCCAGGGAACTCACGCTCCCAAGCTGATCAGAGGAGCACAATGCAGTGCTGCCTTCTCAGCCTGCTGCTTGCTCTGCTGCTATCTGTGAGCCCAAAAGTAAGGCAGGCCAGCAGAGGAAGGCAGGCAATGTTTACAGAGGTATGTAGAGGGATACAAAATGCAGTAATGTGGGTTGGGAATATCCTCTGCTGACCTGCGTGCCACGATGGAGGCAGCTTATTTCAGAGGCAGCTCAGTCTGGAGACAGAAGTTTCCACCTGATGAACTTAGCTCAGCTACGCCGTCTTGCTCTGCAGAAGCTACTCCACTGCTGTGCCTCAGCCCCTCTCCAGTAACGCCGTCCTCACCCCCACTGACCAGGCAGGGTTTGCCAACCGGCTGGGTGTTTGGCATGCTTTAGGTGCTACACAAACATGGCATCATCAGTCAAATGGGCTAGGTATGCAGTGGATCTGCTCCATTTCTGTGTGACCTGGACATCTGTGTTCAGTGTCCTAGTTGGAAATGTGACCTATTTTTGTGCCCTCTGAGACTCTTGCTTGTTTCCAGCAAAACTGCCATGCAGTGGCTGCCTGTGGCCTGCTACTGCCAAAGATGTATGGGCTTTGTTCTGTTTATTGGTTACTACTGGATCTTCTTCCCTGTAGTTTCTCCAGAGAAACTCTTCAAAGATTTTTTGCTCCTTGCAGTGCAAAACTTGCTGCATAGTGACAAGTGATGGAGAACTACCTGATACCACTTAATGTTGCAGGACTGCAGTGAACATATGTGCTACTGACAGCATATCCTTTAGCACAGCTCTGATGACTGAAACTACTGTCTCTAGTGTGCAGGAAGCCAATATACTGGAGCGTTAATGCCCGAGATGCTTGCTCACTGCAGGAAATCAGGAGGCAAAAATCAATTCTGCATGTCTCTCACAAAGCCTGTTTCTTTAACATCTTCAGTAGGACAGTAGACAACAACCCTCTCTTCTTGCCATCCTGTCTGAGCGGTACTGTAGAGGCAGAGGGATGTTCTGCATTAGAGATTTCTTTTGAGCAGGACAGAGGAGGAGACTTAAATGTAATTAGTAGAAATGGAACTGTTTGCACCAGCTGCACCAGTTGGCTAGTGCTGATGGCCCTGACTGCAGCAACCATTGCTTTCAACAGAGCAGGTATCACTGGAGATACCAGGAAAGTTCTTGCTTGAGAGCTAAAGCACTGCAGCAGGCAGAAACAATATCTCATGAGGTGACCATTCTGTTGAAGTAAAGCTGTGCCTCAACTTCCCTGCATTAGAAGGGATTCGTGGAGGTGACCTGATCCAACCCTGTGAAAGTAAGGGCTTCAAATTTACATCCCATTGCTCTAAGCCTTGTCTAGTCAAATACTATCTCCAAGAATGCAGGTTTCACAGAAACTACCCACCAAGCACTTGGCAGGAACGTGGTCTATGTGGGTGACACAAGACACTCTATTCTTTCTCATAAAATGCAGCCTTACTGCCTCTTTTTCTGTAGAGATTAGCTGAGGATTTCTGTTTTCTTCTGAACAGAACTCTCTTAAGGAGATGCAAGTTCTCTGGGTTCTGAGGTTAAAACTAAGATACTGCACTAAAGTGAATGAAAGGTGTTTTGCCAGCAGCATTCCCTGAACTGGTCTGGTCAGAATTTCCATCCATTCTTAAATGGCTTTTCTTTCATCTGGTGTGTCTTTTGAAGAGTCATTTCAAAAGGCAGCTCAGCCCTGCTCCTTGTCTCCACTCACCACCAGGCCAGCCAAAAGCTGTGGGTGAGGCAGGCGGGCTGGAGTCCCCAGTCTGCTTCAGAGCTCTGAAAGCCACGACTACGACATTCCTAGAGAAGGGAAAGCTCGCATGGGAAGCAAATTCCAGAGGCACTGCCATAATGTGGAGGAAGGGGATTCTTTCCCTTATATACCATCTCAGGTGGTGATCACTTCATCACCTTGGAAGGACACAACAGCCCGGCAGGCTGGACTCAGGAGCTTCCCAGCTTCTCCAGTAAACTAAGAGGTGACAGGAGTGAAGTCAGGCTCCTTCCACTCCCTTTCCATCATCTGTGCTCCCCGTTGAGGTAGTCATTGGAGCAAGGCCTCTTGTACTATGAGAAACACCAATGCATATATGTATGTACTCTTTGGCATCCTCACACTAATCTGTTTGAAAACGGATGAAGCAGTTGTACTTCTGCTCCTGATTCAGAATCAGCTTCACTTTGATACCAGTGAACAGATTAAGACCACAAAAGCTCTTACATCAGTCTAGTTAAACCAATTAAAAGACAAAACAGGACACAACAGCCAGGTCTGGTCTATACCCAGGCACGTATCAGGTGTTGCCTACGCAGCCCCGATCTCCATGGGGAACTGAATGGAACTGTAACAAGCCGATGCAAATGTGTTTTGAGGGCATCCAGCCATATGCTGGATAATCTTGGTGCAAAGTGTGTTTTCACTGACTCTTAGCTGAAAACATAAGTCCTTCCCTCCCTATGCTCCAACTTCACGTGCCAAGAAGCTGTGGCTTCCCTGGCACAAAGGCAGGCTGGGGGAGCAGGGCTCTGTCAAGTGTGTTGGGAAAGAAGCAGGCACCAAAGTAAAAAGGCAGCATATGCTGTGTATTACTGGGTGTAATGCAGTACACTCAAGTATGTTACATTTCACGCAGAGTTTGTGCTAAGAGAGCCTCATTTCAAATCTCTCTTATTAGCGGCCACAAGAGTGCAAGTTGATTTCAGACTGCTGGGCAATGATTTACATGAGAAGATACTCAACAAGCCTTTTCTACACAAGCAATTACAGGAAAAAGCTGCTGTCTTCTTCCAATTAATTCTGTCTCTGGAAACCAGCACTGAATAAATTAATACAGCCAGGAATAGAAAAGAAGGAAGGGTGACAAAGATACAGTGCAGTATCTGCAAACTTCACTTTGCTGGCTGTGTCCATGGGTTTTTCCTAATCCTGGGCGAGAAGGTTGTGTGCCCAATGAAGAATGAACCCTGGGAGAAAAAGAGAAGAATCCCTCTTGAGAAACTCTCTTCTGAATAGAAATGAGCTGAACTCCTACCAGAGCTATCAACCACTGTTTCACAACTGCAGTGATTTTCCAACATGAAGCTCCTTAAAGCCGCACTAAGCAAAGGAACATGGTCTCTGAGGAAAGGTGTTTACCTTCTTCCCACAGACTTTCAGAGCACTCCTAACATCAGGTAACTGTCCTCCTGCTTTATCTCCTGAATTATTCTGGCCAGAGGCAGACTCTACCATCATGCCAAGTAGCACCCTTATGACTGAAGACCATCTTTTACGGATGGGGGGACCTCAGAGCAGGGTCACACAGACTGGAAGACTGACCCTGTCTCCCAAGGTGAAAACAGCCAGCACTGAACAAAAACGCAAATTCACAGGCCACAGCAGCAGAGCAGCAGTTGCCAGGCAGCAACTGAAGAAATCAATGCTCTCCCACGCTGGAATATAATACTAGCATCCCGGTGTTTCTTACAAACTGCTCTAGAGGGCTCTCAGTGCCTGCCTACCTTGCTAAAATTTTTAGGTAGGCGTTTCTGGCATTGCTGTCATCAAGCTGCAACATTAGTTTAGCACCAACACAGCGAACACCAAGCAAACTGCTGACATGAAGTTCCATGGTATCCAAGCACAAACCAGCCACACCCGGATTATAATTTAGGATTGCAGTGTATTGCCAAAAAAATAGCCACAGCAGCAAAAATGCTGCAGCAAGCGCGGGATTAATTGCAGTTAGGCCAGGGTCCTTCCCTAGAGCCTGGCACTGTGCTGAAGGCAGCGGCAGGAAAGCTGACAAAGAACACAGCAGTAGATAAGGATGGGGAGGCAGAGAAAGGTGTGTCCTCCCCAGCTCCAGTGGGTAGGAATAGGGAGGGGAAGGCAGGGCATGTTCCCAAGGAAGAAAAGTCAGGTTGAAAATGCAGAACAGGAGAAAGACAAGCACCTTGAAGCACTGCACGGAAGACTTAGTGTGAGGACAGCTTCCAACCTTTGTTATACTCACATTTGCATTTCTGCTCCTTCCAGCAGGTACTGGAGCAGAACTAGCCCTGGCTAAGTGGAGGGGCACTACCTGGGGAACAGGAATGGAGCAACCTGCCAATCAGACAACGTCAAAAGATAAAATTCAGCCCAAACGGAAAAGATGGACACAATCTCAGGCCCTAAGTTCACCAGTTCCATTCTGCAAGGACTCCTTGCAGGTAAATGACTTATCCCGTGAATCTACCTACTTTACCAAGCAGTGGTTTACTTGTCACCATCCCCACCATGGCCAGATTTGCAGCTCGTCCCTTTAAAGGTTCCCATGTGTGCTCCCAAGCAGGAGCTGGCTTTCTCTGTTGCCTAAGTTTGGCACTGTTAACCAGGAGAAGACCCAATCCTACCCTGCAACTCTGCAGCTTGAAACCTGCTCCAAAAACAGGGAGTCCTGAGAAAGCTCCTTGTTTTAATGCATTAAAACATGCACAAAAAGCACCATCCCTGACAGAAGTCTACTGTGATCATTCAAATAGCCAAAAAAACCCCACAGCCTGCCTTAGCCTGACCTAGAAGACCGCTTTGGAGACCAATCCGAGCAGCTGCCCCACCTGCCCAGCCCGTGTACGCCGTGCAGTCCTGCGGGTCGGCAGACTTGAGGCCTCTCTCCATCTGCTGGAGCAGCTCCCTGATTTTGTTATTCAGCCGCTGCGTGAATTCGGGGGTCAGCTGCAAAGATTAAAACAAAACACCAAACGTGAAGGAAACAGCGGCAGGCAGATGGAGGCTGGAGGTGCCCGGAGGGAGCACGACCAGGAAACGGGGTGTTTTTTAACCTGACAGGTCTCTACTAGAGACCCTTGGGTACCTCAGGACCTGCTTCGCTTCGCGGTCGGGGGGGAAGCGGGCCCTTCCCG